ACAAAAAAAATCAAATTAATGCCACACCTTGATTATGTGACGTAATAGAAGGGCGTTACCTCCAAACAAAATGGCAGCCAAAGCACCAGGTCAGTATTTTGTTTATACTTGATTATGACTCGTGTGTTGTTACTATTAGTGTATCATTCAGTTACTGTTACCTCTTGTTATCTATAGACTATCAACCAGTGGAGAGGTACAGACACTCCACTGTACGGGTAGGAGACTACCTGTACATGTGGGGTGGGCTCCAGCCTGATCTCCCTAATGTACATAATAACGAAGAGAAGAAATCAATGTGTTCTGTGATGGAGGTGTGCCACCTGAGGACTGGTAGGTGGGAGCAGAAACCCACCACTGGTAACCCTCCACTGGGTGTTATGGGCTATGCAGCTGCTGCCATTGGAAGGGAAATATTTTATTTCGGAGGGGATTGTAATCATCCTGGCTGTTATCATAATAGTTTATACAGGTAAACATAATAGTTACTGATAAATATTATATAATATTTTATACAGTTTTAATGTTGATACCTTCAAATGGAAGGAACTCTTTCCTACTACATCTCATCATGGTCCTATGATGAAGGCCTACTGTGACATGATAGCAATAAAAGTGAACAGCGAGGACTATCTTGTAGTAATTGGAGGATATGGACCATCTTCTAATAATACACCTAAACAACCTGGTGCCCAGTACAGTGGTAAAGGTTATCAACGATGCAATGAGATCCATTTCTATAAACTCTCAACAGGTCAGAGCACATACAGTTTATATTAATATAATGAAGTATTGTTATTTGGTGGTTCTCTACTCAGACTGGTTGCATTGAGAATTGCTTGCTTGTTTGTTCATGGTTGTCACTCCTAATTACATGTATTTGATAATATGATCAAAGAAATATCAACTAGTTTGCTCCACCCAATGCATTCCATTCACACTAATTATTATTATTGATATTTTTAGGACAATGGATATCACCGACTGTCACTGGAGACAGACCACCTCCTATTGATAAATTCACTTTAACATCAATTAATAATTCCAGTGCTATATTATTTGGAGGTATTACTGGTAATGGAGACAGTAACAATGTATATATTCTTAATTTTACTGATACATCAGTGGTGAGTGTATTATTAGTATAATTACATTAATTATTAATTAATA